TCGCACCCCGGCTGCCCCACCCCCCTCCTTGAGCCCCCCGCCCTCAGAGGGGAAGAGTCAGGAAAAGGGCAGCGTTCGGCACTCCGCTAAAAGGAGCAGAAACCTCCCCCGCAGTGGGCGGTTAGGACCGTGGCTGCAGGTCTGTCAGGCACTGGTTTGGACAGCCATCACACTCGTGGGTCCTGAAGGCAGAGAGAGAGCAGGGCAACCCCGTGCTTTGGTTACCAGGGGAGGCGGAAGTGGCCGAGGAGGCGTGACTTTCCTGTGGGGGGGTGGAGCTAAGCCTCCAAGCTCCAGCTTTTGAAAGCAGTTTCACTTGCTTCGAATTTGCTGATAGGATGAGAAAAGGCGCGGGCTGTCCATCTGGGAATATTAGAAGGGAGTTGCAAGAATTTAATCGCTGCTCTGCTCTCAACCCTTTCAGGGAGGGGGGAATGAATGCATTATGTTCAAGCTTTGAGCTTAATCGTGCTTGTCGAAGTAAGACATGTTTAAAACAGAATTTACTCCCAACCCTAGTTAGAGACTCAAGCAACATGCATTTTTAGTGTTTAACTATATAAAGTTTGGAAAGCAATTTATGTCAGACTTTCCCGATGGGTATTTTTTTGTTTGCACTGTTCCAAAGCCATTTATCCAAATAAATGAATGAGCTGGCTGGTCTTAGGTAAACCAAACTTCATATGTTCATGGATTTCAGCAAGCTTAGAGGAATCTACTACTTTTGCATAAGGATCAGGCTGCATGTAGTTACTCCCGTCTTGGTTTTAGTGAAACCCAATTGGAATTGTGCTTGTCTATACATTTTTTATTGCTGTAACAAAGCCTCTCTGTGACAATAAGTGGGTGGTACATTCAACTAGAGTATGATGAAAGAAATGAGAAATGTGGATGTTATTAAAGGTAAGATATAGTTGTAGTCAGTGCATAAACAATTGTTTGTCTCAAAGTGGAACTGGCTTGTAATTCTGATACACGTTCTACTTCTTTGCCAGGTCTCTACTTCTAGTATTTATTTTTATTTAGTTAGTTTTTTGAATTTAAAAGCCACCCAACTCCAGTGGACTCGGGCAGTGTACAAAACTGGAAAAAAAACATAACAGGTAAAAACCCTAAACCAGATGGACAGCCCAGACTGAAATAAAACAAGACAGGGACCAAAGACAAACAATAATACATCAACCTGGTGCCAAAGCCAGGTTTTCAGAGCTTCTGAGATACACCAGTCTTCGGGGCTGGCTTTTCTTTTCCAGAAACTGGAAAACTTGATATGCAAAACTCCCTGGGAACATTGCCTTAAAAAGCTTAATTAAATGGAATATTCTGCCAGTGGGCTCAGCTGATTATGATGTTCCATTGGAGGAGCAAAGCAGTGATCTCATTGCCATTTGCAATTCTTGCTCTACAACGATCCTATCAAAAATGCAAACTAAATCATATATTGATTTTGGGTATAAAGAAAATCATGGTAAGGGTTTTTTTTCCCCAGTTAAAAGTGTGTTGTGTTAAGCTCTGATGTGTTTTTTTTCTGAGGCCCAGTATAATGTCTGAACCTGGCTACTGTGGTATAGTCACCACCTGAAGCTTAATTTAATTTGCAAATATGTAC